AATCAGATCAAGAATTATCCATCAACATTTAAACAAATTTATATTTTAATTGTAGATACATAGACAAGGAACTTTGGGGTACTATGCTGAACATGTTGTTGAATATAGAATCATGCAAGAATCTACCTAGCCTGGACGAAATTATAAGGAAATTGAACAAATATCTATCAATTCAACAAAAAGTGGTATTGAAACATAATTTTACCAGTTTAAAAAATGCATTAAAAAAAAATTAATGTCTTTGTGTTTTACATTTATTTTAATTCGGCTATAAATGTACTTTTTTAAGAAACTTAATTTTTACTAATTTTTATGTAGTATGATATTTATATTATTTTGATTATTCTTTTGATTATACTTTCATTATGCATTATTTATTTATTTATATATTATTATAACCTAACAAAACAAAATACAAACTCAGAAAAATACATAATATAACTGAGATACCTACAATAAATTAAAGATTTGTCAACAAATGTAGCAGTAACACAGTATATATATACTGTAAACAGTGTAAACCAAACGTTAACATTTTAGTTTTATTTATATGAGTATATGCGCCTTATGAATAATTCAAATCGTTAGAACTAGGTATCGATAAATCAAGGTAGTTATAGGCTATATTCTTTTTTTATTTTCAGTCATAAGCAAAATATACATTTTAGTTGTTATGTTATATTATTTAGGCTGCTATAGTCAATATAGTGCTGCACCTGTGTCCTGTATGATACCCTGCCAAACTTCTCCCACTACTGCATTTCCCTACTGCTAGACACATATCTTCAAAACACTCGTCACTCAGTACATAGGTCGGCCATCTGTCTGTTGGTACATCAAATAAATTATAAAATGGTCATGTTCATTTAGAAATTTAGCAAAACTCKGTTGTTACTTATTTGTTTCCATGGCAGAAGCCCACTATATTTTTATAGACATAAGCWGTGATCTGGTGAAATATTAGGGGGGCTCAATAAATATTTTAACAAAACATAATATAAATATTTTTTTTTATAGGTAACGAATAAGATTAGATAAATTATCCATATGCAAATTTAAAATCTGTACTAAAGTATGATATTGCTTATTTTCTAATATAATGTAATTATATATATAATTTCTTGGGTGGCATTTAAAATATTGAACATATTTGCGTGAAAAAAAGCTTGAACTAAACCTGAATGTAAAGATGCATCTTTATATTTTTAGTGCTGATCTAACGTTAAATATGTTAACATTATACTAATGAAGAAAAAATGAAAAATGATATGATATTTAAAAATACTAATGATATCTTGACAAACCTCTTGGTCAACTCTGTATATAAAAAAAAAACTACTAAAACAAACATAATAGATAATTAATTTCTATTAAATTTGGATTAATTATTATTGAATATATTTTAGACATTAGACTATTTATTTAGATTCTTCCTTATATCACACATTTTAAAGCAATTATTTTAATGTTTTTATTATTTATATATAGAAGTGTTAAATTTTTGTTAGGTAGAATTCTACAATGAGAATAATAAAATAAAATAGTTCTCTTTTCCATATTTAAATTTAAAAAATTGAAGCCCGCATTAGCAATCTGCATAAGACATGTGAATTATTACWAATTATTACTACTTCATTATAATTGCATCCTTCTTTACTTCTCAGAAAACTTGTTTGAAATTGGTATTAGTTCATAATCAATTTGGTTAGATGACTCTCCTTCTGTGTTAATAATACTTGAATCGGTAATTCTATCATGTTCCATGTTGGACTTTAGATAAATATTCTTCTCGTAGAGGAAAAAGATCTCTCACATGTTGCCGAGCTTATAGATATAACTAATGCAACATGCATTAACTTATATCACAGAACAATATATATATTTGGATAAGTATCATATGAAATAACAGACAAAATGTTCATTTTGTYTTTACTGTTAACTTTTTGATTTTCATACACATTTTTATTTATTTATTTATTACCATTGGTTATATATATATAATAATATATATATAAATGGATTTCTGTCTGTTTGTCCTTTATGCAATCTTAAACTGCTGGAACGATTGTGACGAAATTTGGTACAGAGATATGTTAGACCTATCACCTATGGGCAAAAGATAGCCAAGATAGGCTAAATTAAAAAGTGATAGGCCTAAATATCATTCAATCGAATATTTGAATTGTCAGACTGTTTTTGATAAAACAAATAAAATTACATAATGATAAACCAAATTGAATATCGTTGTAAGATTATTACTTAATACTTGGTATATTTTAACCGTTATCTATCCTTATTCCTTATGTATAAAAGTTTACTGCTAACAGAATCATGGGAAACGAATTTAACACACAGTTTTTGACAGGTAGGATTTTTAACAGGCTACGAAGTGAACAGGTTCAGCTAGTAATTAATATTATAAATACAGATTATAAATTATATAATTTATTAATATAAAGATAACCTAATATTATTAAAATACCTTTTTTAGGAAGTGCTTAATAAGATGGCTAAGGGCGGGGTAAGCTCTTCTAAACGCCCCCCCCCTAGTTATGTCCATGTGATCAATACCTACATATGCATTCGCATAAATCCGTTCCCTAGTTAAATTTTACTTATTACTATTTTATGGAAAATGAAATGCGGGAGGGCATAGAAAAGTGAATTATAAAACTGAAACTATCAGAGATATGAGTTTAAGAAGTCAATTTTGCATGAAAGAAGATTTTATGAATCTAAKATGAACAAAAGTCCTGCAAAAAAATGTCCGATGTCATAAAAGTCCAGTTTACTTATATTTATTTATAATTTATTTATAAGTTAATTATTTGTTTATGTACCTACACATTATTATACTTTTATAATATGATATATAGAATAGAAAGGTCGGGATCTGGTAGTAAAAAAGATATAGGGTACCAATGATTAAACATTTTATTTTTAAGTTGACAAATCATATTTCAARTCCTTTAATCGTGTACAGTGCATATTGGACTTATACAAAACATTGGTTTTCATTTATAATTATATTGACAAAAAAWTTATGTCATATTTTTATGTTTATTGCACCTATCATATTGATTTAAGTTGAAAAATGTATACTTATAAATAAATATATAAACMGGAATTTTTGTTACGGGACTTTTTTCCGGACTTCAGTTTGTCGAACATTTAGGTAGAATCACAGCTAGATTTTACATGGAGAGGAAAAATAGATCGATCCTGTGCGTACAATCAGCCAGACTAAAAAAACCGAGAATTATAACACAATATATGGCTATATTATACATTATAAATAAATAGATTCACAAAACGTGATAATCGACATTTTTATAAAAATGTATTTCAGTGTTAAAGCAGCAGTATGAATTTATAACAGATTTTAATTGAATGGCGTTTATATAGTAACTAAGGATAAATCATTTTTGACTGTTGTAGATATTTTGTCGTTACGATGAAAAGTGAAAAAAAAAATTGTTTCTTAAATAATTATGAGTATAATAATGTTCTGCATTGTGCTTCTACTATTTTTAATATTTATGCGCTGATAACCAAAAGCCTAAAACAAGATTATAATGAATAATATTGATAACTAATGTCTGATAATTAATATATTAAGCACTTATAGATACCTACCGAAGACGGAAATCTAGTTCACATTTCAAATCTCGATTATGTTAAAGGCTCAATTTCACATTAAATACACCGTTATGTAGGTAAGTACTAGGTAAAAAATCAATAATAATTCACAAGGAGCATATTTTATTTGTTTTCAGTTTTTAATACATGTTTATTATTTACTAACAACCGGTATATAATTATAGTGCCTAAATGCTTTAAACAATTAAAACTGTAGGATATATGGATATTGCCATATACAAACATTAATAATAATAATAAAATATTAATGAACATAGGTTTACATTATAATATGATTTGTGCAATGTATATAGGTGGTATTATGAACGATAATTTAAAGATAGAATTAAGATTATATGACGGTGGGGGGGGTGATGTGGGGGAATGTGCAGTTCATCAAATAATATTGCTGAAAATGTTTAAGCCCATTTAAATTTGTGTTTGGAAAAATGTAGTCATTTAGTCATTCTACTATATTATATACTTTATTTACGAAATTTTTCTTTCTATTACAAAGAGTTTCTTCTTTTAGAGAATGTT